TATGCAGCAGATATATATATATATGAAAGCCTTTTTATTCTGTAGACACTTTAGTTACCTGTACCAATATGAAAATACACGGGGAAATAATAAAATACAATGACATTTTGTACATTAAAATGCCTAAAGACATGAACAATTCAAAAAAGAATACCAGGTCTACAACCCAAGTACAAAAAGATTTGTTGTGTAATAATCTGCTACTAAGTTCTTACCAATTCCACTACTTCTGTCCTCATTTCAAGTAGTTTTCTTTCATTAAGTGAGTACTAGAGGGGAAGGAAAAAAAAAACCCAACATACTGTCAGTGAACTTTTTCCCCCACACTTAAAAGCATATTTCTTTGTTTCCAAATTCTGTACAATGCTGGATCTGGACAAGATTATTGTCTGACAACACTTGGGAGGCAGTAGGATAATTGTTGTCCTTCAGAAAAGCACAATTTAGACAGGTGTTGATCCACACCTCTGAAATAAAAAGCAAAAGTCCATCAGACACCTGTGTTTTGCAGAAACTGTATATATTAATAAGCAGCTGAAAGTAAGATTGGCAGATTTGCATTTCTGAGAAACAAAGACCTATGATCCTAAACAGCAACTCTGGAACAGTTAACTAATCCACTGAGCATACAAACACAATTAAGGCTGAACCATCTATTTTCTTCAGGAAGGGGAGGTGCAGTTTTAAAACATTATCAAACTCAGCTATCGAAGAAATGTTTTGCCAGCACTGCATGTGCTCACAATTTGTATTGTTCTGACTATCATTTCATGTTATACTTGTTAAATATAGAACATTTGTATCTCATATTAAGCCATTCATTTGTAGAACATCAGAAGTTGTGACTTATTTTTAAATTACAGCTATTTGGGTTCAAGGAAAGTTAAATCCAAATTAAAGAAGAATATCTTTAAGGCAGTTTACCTTTCTGACTCATGAACAAGCATGATTTACCTTGACATCTATAATGGCTCCTGTCCCACTACTGGAGCAATTCAATTATTAATAGACAGCTGTTAAAGCACCAGTCTATAGTGTAGAGTATTAAGGTCACCAGGCACCCATCTCAATCCTCGTACACAGCAATAACCTCATATGTTGCCATTCCCATGTGGAAAGTTGCTTTATTTTTCTTCACCCTGGAACCTTATTCCACTTTAACTCTGATTAATCTACATAAATGCTTCAGTATTGGAAAAACCTCCTTAAAGATCTAGATCTCTGTTTGGAGTTTTGACTGCTCTAAAGATGAAATTAAACAGATAGGAAGCTGCTACAAATGTAGAAAACAACATAACAGACATAACAGCATGCCTACAATTAATGAAAGTCACTAGATTCTGCAAAATGAAGACGGATAAAAAAAGAAATTCAGACTTTTCATATAAATATGCATTTTTGAAAGTGATATAGACCAGAATATTTATAAAAGAATCTAATTAAAATTACATTTGAGGTGAAATGTCACATAAGAATTGGACCTCATATTAATAAATTGATCACCACTATCAAAAAAACTATAACATTTTAAAAAGACAATTTTATGGATTGAAATAGTTAATCTGTTTTACTTTAAACAGATGCTGTTAGCCAAATACACATTTTCCTGAAAAATTTATATTCTACAAGCTTCTGTCTTATGTTCATGTTTGTGAAAGTTTTGTTTTGTCGCTAGAACTCTCCAGGTCAGATCCAAGGATTTTAAACTTAGGTTTTAAGATAGTGAAATACACCCTTTTACTGCAGGGCATCACCACACATCTATAACACCACCAGTGCATAAAAAAACAAGGAGCAAGACAAGGTTAAACTTCCCCCCTGAAATTCAACAGGGAGATTTCCCCTTAAGTCCATTTTTTTCACAGTGTAGAGAAAATTCAGTTTTGTCAGATGCATCTTGGGATTCTTAACAGCAAGCTTAGAGGCACTGTGATGCCTGAACACATCAATATATATGGAATTTTGTACTGTACTTTGAGTTTTAAAATCTGTATCACTGCAGATACAAATCACAGCATAAACACATGTTCATTAAGCAATGCAGAATTCTCCAAGAAATCTAAAGTGGAATGAACTAATTAAAAGATAAAGCATTTCAAGTTTGAAACATTAAAAACTACATCAATGTTGACAAATTAAGAAATTCTCCTTCAGGACTTATGCCAAGCAAAACTGGGGAGGAAAAAAGAGCAGTTTCCATTGAAACTATGAATTTATAGTTGCACAACAGACTACAAAGTTGGTCAACTTTAAGAGAAAGTTGACATGCAGTTTGCTCTTTCTAGGAGGCAAAATAACACAGCATTCTGCACAACAGTCAGAGTCCAGATGCCAGGTCCTATAGAAATATACAAGAAAACACTTGTGCCTAATTTATCACTGGTGAGGTGGCTTTTAAATAAGTTTTGTAAGCCCAAAGTATTGCAAAGCTTATGATCTACACAGTTAATATATTTCATAGTGCTTTTTTAAAACATTAGCATGAAGTATTAACCTTTAAACAAGAATTCTAGCTGTTCAAACTGTACTCTATTCAAGCATCTACCATGGGATAACAGACTGTTAGGCATTATACTAAATCACTGACAGCTGTTACCTGAACTAATCATTGCAAAAAAACTTCAAGGGGCACATACTACTTCAACAGTTCTTATTGCCTCGATTGGAGATAAGTATTACATATTCACTATACACCTGTGAAAAAGGCCTGAATAAAAACTAATATTAATAGAAAAATGTCATTAAAAGACCTTTCAATTTAGAAGATTCAATTTCTCTGAGATCCTAAAAGCTATTAAAAGCTTTCTGTGGGAACAGAATGCTAAATAGAGTGCTACATATAATGCAAAAACTTGTTGATCTTCTAATTCTTCATCTACTTTATTCTAAGATCACATCAGTTCAGGTCTACCAGATATTTCAAAGTTCAAACCAATCTGAACCAGTATCAGTTACAATTTAAAAAATTAAAATAAATTGCAATTGTTTTCACAGTATGTATTTCCTGACAAACTAGATACACTATTAAGTTCTCTAGCTATAGGGAAATTAAACATGATAATGAAATATGTACAGTTGTGAAAATAGAAAAAGGGATATATTAGTAACATAGAAAAACTGTAGGAGCTAGTCAGCATAGATTAAATATTTAATATATTTAAGTGTAATGTGTTAATCATGATATTAAACCAATATAAAAATAGATAAGATACAAACCCAAACACTGTACAGTACAGAACACCTTATGCTATAGAAGCATAAAGATGAGTAACTTGGATTAATACCATCTTGAAGCTGTATGATACTATAGATTAGTATAAAAGTGCTCTTTGGATAAGATGCTCTTACTCAAATTTAGAGATTACTCAGTGTTGAGATGTTTCTAGAAGAAAGTAACCAAAACTTACCAATTCTTTTACTCTGCTCTTCTCTAGGTTTAGGTTTAACTTGTTATCTGCACGAACTTTGGTAATTTCATCCTAAGGGGAAAAAAATGACAAAGCAGTAAGCAAGATTTTCTATTTAATCATCAGCAGGAAAAATGAGACAAATACATTGTGCCTTTCCTTACATATCTCAGTTATCAAGCTTCTCTAATTAATGTACATAATTTTCAAAAGTATAAGTATTCTTCCCTTGGGAAATACTCATATTCTATAGTATGAATTGGATCTCAGAATCAAAACCTAACAATTACTTTTAAAACCAGAACACTGAGAACAGACTAATTGAAAGCACATCCTTCTGTAAATGCTGGGATTGCTCCATATAGCCCGTAACTCACTCTGATTTCTAGAAACTCATGTACACCTGTAAACTGGACTTTCTCCATGAAGCAACCTTGATGCTCAAATAACTTTAAAAGCAGTTTCTAACCTTCCAATGTAAAAGAAAGTATGTTTCTAAAGACTACATCTAGGGCTTTCAGAAAAAGTTACAGGTATTTAATAAGCATTGCATGACTTCTAAAATTTTTAAACATCTAACTCTGGAAAACTACCATAAGCTGTATACTTGCATTTTACTTCATCAATAGCTGTAAGTGATTCCTGCTTTTCTCGGTGACAGCTGCCATTTTAATGCAACCTCCTGGCAGGAATTCCAGCCAGCTGACAGTTTGTCATGAGGCAAACTGCTGATCAGATGAATGTGTGAGAGAAGCAAAAGATTGCTGATATTCTGGGAGACTCTACTATTAAAACCAAGTAAGCGTCTCTCAAGTAGGCCAACATCAACTAGTCAAGGGTTCATTAACTTAGTATGAAAAAAAATTAGACTAAATTTTTATGTTTGAATTTTTGAACTTTGGTTTATAATCAGATGTCATGACAATGCAATACATTACAGTCTGATGAATCAAAAATTAGGAATAAGATTTTCTTAAACTTTTACAGCATTCTGTCTGTCTTTTAGAGGAACAAGTATGAGCAAACATACTTGTGAGAACTACATTTACAGCTAAAAGTAAAAGACATCCAGCTTTTAAAATAACTCAGATCCTTGACACTTTACCAGTGGATTACAGTCATTTATATGCAACTAAAGCCATTAAATAAGTTACAAATCAAAAATTAGATGCCAAATGTATTTTAAAATGGCATTCTGAAAACCCAGATGCATTATGCACTTCATAACACAGTATGAAGCATGTAGGATTAGCCTTGACAAATTTATGTTCTCCTTTTGGAGATGACAGTGCAAAAAGAAACTGAAAAGAATAGGAAAGAAATGGCAAGGAGGCACTAGGCTGAGTTTGACCACACTGTCAGCTAGCTTGACAAGCCAAACAGTTTGACAATTTAATGGACAAATCTTAAGGATGGAAGAGGTCTCCATCCTTCCAACTAAGATGGACATCTCGGCAAGAAATAGCAGTCCTCCAGTCATACGTCCATACTCCCTAAAAACAGTTAATGTTTCCCAGTTTCCAATCTTAATTACTCTTACAAGAATGTTTGTTTCTGTGTAAGAGCTGCTTATGACTCCACATCCATTGAAATAATAGACTTTTAAGACAATCTTGGTTTTGATGATAGAAGGATGTTTGGACTGCTATTCAAGAAACACAGTACTGATGCTTACACCTGATAAGAATCTGTATGACAATTAACAGAGTGAGTTTTCTACAGAGTCTGTTTTCTTGAAATGATCATTTGCTCCCAAACAAATGGGACCAAACATAATGGTCCCAAACTTAGTGGCCTAAAATGTCATTTAAAAGCTATTTTAAATTTTGAACAGCTAACAAGTAAGTCTTCACAGAAAAAAACAAACAAACAAACAAACCAAAACCCAAATCAATTGGTAAATGCTGTAATTTTAAAAGTATGTTGCATCTTTACATGTAACAGGCAGCCCTAAATGCAGAACTTCACTCAGCTTTAACCATGACATGGCAGCCACTTTCTGAATCAGATTAAGGACATCAAAATAAAAAAAATCTTCAGTTAAATTTTTTTTTCTTCTCTTGTATGATTCACAGTTCTGTCATGATAAATGAAGTATGCATGAAATTGTCTTGGCTGCAGCCCACAGTGTACTGTGGCTGCAATTTCAGTATCCTATATATCACAACAATTAAGCACAGCTTTTGAAAGAAAATCTTGAATATTTTTTTTTTAAAGCAACCTAGACAGGCTTTAATTTTTAATTAAATTGGTATCATATCTTACCATGACTTGCTTCTTTATCTGCTGGAGTTCAAGTTTTATTTTCTGGGAGAGTAGAAAAAAATGGCACACTTTATTACTGTATATAAAACCACAAAATCTAGAAATACTAATAAATTTGTATGATCAGTAACCGTGACTATAACCCATAATGTGAAAAGGAAAGCAAACTAAGCATGGTTTAACTCTATGTCCTCAGCATGTGTATAAATATATGTGTGTGTATACACATGCCTGTGTAGTTAGTACTGTGCATTTCCAAGCAACAGCACAAGATAGAAGCTAGCCATGTCCCACAATGCTAAAGATGGCCAAATGCATAGGATGGTATTAACAACAGTAAACCCAGACGGTCAGTAATTATTTCCCCATATTCACTTGTGAGCCTGCACTGGAAGTGTTGTGTCCAGCTCTAGGCTCCCTGGTAAAAGACAGATGTTGACATATTGGAGCAAGTCCAGTGGAGGGCCATGAAGATGATGAGGGGCTGTGGGAGGTGGGTGGTGAGGAGGAAAGAACAAACTGGGTTTGTTCAGCTTTAAGAGACGGCTCAATGGCAATCATACTGCAGCCTGCAACTACCTAATGTTCTCCAGAGGTCCTTTTATTCTATTATTCTATTACTTTATCTCTTTCAAAGGGTACATGAAATAGTTAATAGATGATGCTACAGCTATACCTCTCTGGAGATCACCCAGTCCAATCCCCTGCTCAAAGCAGGGGCAACTAGAACAGGTTGCTCAGGGCCATGTCCAGTTGGGTTTTGAATATCTCTAGGATAGGAACTCCACAGCCTCTCTGGGCATCCTATTCCAGTGTTCTACCATCCTTAGAGTAAAAAAACAGTTTTTCTAGTGTTTAAATTGACCCTCCCACATTTTGATCTCTGCCAATTACCTACTGTTCTGTCACTGGACAACACCAGAGCCTGTCCCTATCTTCTTTGCACCCTCCCTTCGAATATTTTATACAGTGATATCCCCTCCAAGCCTTCTCTTCTCCAGGCTAAAGTCCCAGCTCTCACGGTTCCTTATTGATGTTTCTGGCTTTTTCTTGGCCTGTCCAGTATGTTCATGTCTCCCTTGTATTGGAGAGCCCAGAACTGGACCCAGCAGTCCAGATGAAGTGTCACCAGTGCCAGGAGACAGGCAGGACCACCTCCCTTGACCCACTGGCAGCCCTCCTAACACAGCCCAGGAAGCTGTTGGCCCCCTTTCCCTAAGGGCTCATCACAGGCTCATGGTCAGCCTGGTGTCCACTTGGACCCTCAGGGCCTCTTCTGCAAAGCTGCTTTCCAGCTGGTCACCCCCAGCCTGTCCTGGTGCCCAAGGTTGTTCCTCCCCAGGGGCAGCACTTGGCATTTCCATTTGTTCAACTTAATGGGATTCCTGTCATCCTATTTCCCCAGCTTGTTGATGACCCTTCTGAATGGCAGCACAGCTTCCTGGTATATCAGCCACTGCTCTCAGCTTTCTATCATCTGCAGGCATGCCAAGGGGGCACTCTGGCCCATCAACAAGGTTATTAATGAAGGTGTTAAACGTACTGGCCCTAGAGCCAACCCCTTGGGTACAAGACACTTTTTTACACCATTAGAAAGAAATAAGGAAGTGCTAGAACAGCACATTCCAAAATAGTGATTTTTACCTCATTTTCAGAACGAAGTGCTGAAAACTCACTTTTTTCCAAAATAATCATGTCCTTTTTCACACCACCAATATGGGACATTACTTGCTGAAGTGCAATTTCCTTATAAAGAGGAAAGAAAAACCTCAGAACATATCATAACTATAATGCTTTTTCTCATCTGTGCCTACAAATACGGTATGTTATTTTGGTATCCTGAAATTTTTAAATTCAGCTATTTCAGATCATCTGAGTTTCAGAAAGCAAGATAAATTAAGTGACAGTGACAAAATAAGCAAGTTAAGCTCAAACACTGGTAATGTTTGACAAAATTAACAGTGCTAACATAGGCCAGAATAATTCAATTAATAGCCTAGGAAAGCTTCTTCCAAGTCTTCAAATTCTTAAGCTATCAAAGGGATTAAGGAGGGAAGAGGTGTATCTGAGCTAAATGTGGAAAGCTGGCTTTCAGACCAAAACTCCTCAGTGCAACTGTACTCTTTTGTAATTACCTCCTGCTGCACGGGGGCTCACTCCGCTACTCAGACTCATACACTATACTTACGAGTGCTCTTCTCAGTCTCCTATACTGAGCAGACAGAAGACAAACAAGAATTCTCTGCAACTTTCAAGGATGGAAGAGCCTGTAGACACTGTTCTAGAATCTACATTAACCACATATGCAAACAGGGACTGCCTTCTCTACTCCAAAGATCTCCCTCTAATAAGTACCCCCTGCTTTTGATTCTGGACTAAGAACCCTACAAAATCTGACACAGCACACTAACTTCACTGTTGTCATAAAATGCTATTTGAAGTTGCAGTGTTATATTTCTAAGTGACATCTGGAGATGCCTCACCATGCTACATGACGACCAGACTGAAAAAAAATGGGTCATTGTACTGGACACATTACAAAAAGTCTATAGAAAGAATACTGCCATGGACACATCTTTTCTTACTCCCTGATGTCTCCAGCTTGTTTTTGTTCTCTCTCATCTTTGGTGAACACAGAAAAGAATCTTCCATGTTCTTTCTCTTCCTCATCTCTATATATACACGTATTTCTTTTTCTCCAAGAAATTTCTAATTTCTAACCAGCATAACACTTCATTTTTTACATACACAGTTATGGCCTAATGGCAATAGCTATATCCATAACATTCCAAACCTCCTTCCAATTCTTCACTCTCTGCATAAGCCCTTGTGCATTCAAAGACTATAAGGAAGTACAGGTTTATCATGTTGCTCCGAGTTCACAGTGCATGCACCTTCTGAACTGCTTCTAGTTTAGCATAGTGTACAAACCTGCACATTTGAATTTTAATGGCAGAAAGTCACTTCAGGGTCAAATCTAACAGTCTCAGAAAACATCTACCATCAGTAGCAACATTTAATTTGGCAGAAAACAAAGAACGTTTGTACTTTCATTCAAAAAAGATGGTCTTAGGAGGTTAAGACTGCTTACTGTAAAATACAACCAACCATGGGAGAAAAGGTCCCTTTAACATTGCATTCCCTGACTGACCGTGAAACAAATTAAGCACAGGAGGAGGAAGCACTCCCATGTCTGCTTTGCCTGGAGTCTAAAAGCTAGGAAGGATGGGCTGAAACCTCCCTAGATGGAAGGTGGTGCAAAATCCAGGTATTCCACTTCTTAGTGAGATGCCATACTGCCAAGACTATTATACTACAAAGATATCAGCTGCTGTTTTCTCATGTTTTAAGACAGCAGCCTAGTTACCATGAGTAAGTTACAGCTTGGGTTCAGAAGGTGACTTGGGGCTGTGAACCCCAGCCTCAGAGCAGCTCAAGAGGCTGAACTTCTGCTATGCTTCTTGTCAGCGGTGTCTATGTGACCAGCTTGCATATCAGAGAATTCCAGCATACCAGATATTGTGAATCCCATTCAAAGATGCTTAAGTTCCACATGCAGTGAATCATGTCTTACACTGACTTTCAGGTTTTTTTCTGGAGCCGGATGTCTAAGAGCTCAATGTAGCAATATTCAACACTGTCATGTCCAATTCCTTACATGGATCTACCTTTGTACAACCTGACAAAGGGCCTCCCAAAAATTCACAACTAGTATTAGAACAAGCCTTGCCTCTAGCTACAATTATTTATTAAAACAATCATTCCCTCACAAGTCAAAGTTAACAATCCGGTTCAGTTGTACATGATTTCCTGGGAGCCAGGAAAGATCTCTGTAGATACTCAGCACTATCAGTCCATTTTCAAGCAAGTTCTCTTCACTTTCTCCCAAGATGTATATGCCGGGTAGATTTAGGGGATATCATGAACAATGTATGTGTCAGAGAAAAAGCAGATAGATTTCAATATCAGCATCCACACTATATATGTTCCTATATCTTATCAGTGTCTACAACTACACCAATCATGCCCTAAAAACATCATATAAAAAAAATTCAGCTCAATTTTAAGACAATATAAAGGTCATTGTGACATAAAGAGAGAAAAAGGCATCACATAAGAGGGTGACAAATAACTTGAGGGAATCTGTACTTCTTTGTTACAATTCTAAAAAAGAATGTATGTAGGACCTGTAACTATTCAAATTCATGCACTGAATACCTCCTATGCCTTCTCAGTAATACTACCTCATGCTACAATAAGGCTGAAATGACAAAACCACCTGTCGTTTGCATACCAACCCAGAGTACCTAAATCTCAAAGTCCACCACAGCACTTCAGTAAGTATTTGAGAAACTCAAGATAAAATTCACTAGCCAATAAATACACAGGGATGTCTGTTCTTCACCTTCAAACTTTTAAAATACAGTGTCTAACAGTAATAAATAGCAACATATATTTCATTAGCAGGCATACTAGGTTTTGATTTACTTTAACCCCACCACTGTATCTGATCTAACCTGCTGTACTTTGGTGACCATGTCCTTGTAAATCACATCCAGGTTGGTGTTCATAATTTTCACTAATGCAGATACAATGACCTCCGACTGCTGAGTAGTGAACCCTAAGCAAAACAAAAGCAACAACGTTCAGAGAGAGACCTAAATCTGGACAGTTTACAGAAATGTCACTTGCTAATACTCAACATCAAGTTAAAACAAGTATCAGTTATGAAAGGTAATAAAACGTACTCCTCTTGATCCAGCATCAACAAAAGAACACAGCCAGTCAGTATATCCAAGTTCCCTTACCCTTAAATTAAGTTTGTGACATAGTACAGCTGCTTCTGTAGTACAGCACTATTACAACATCAGCAGAATAAACACTGGAAATTTTTTAGAAGTACTATGGAATGTCATCTCTCACATGCAGTTATTTCTACAAGCAAAAATTCTGACCCTGAAAAGCAGGTACTTGCTTTCGGTACACCATAAATCTTCAGTACCACTGAAGATGTGCAACACTCAACAACTGAAAACAGAACTAACTGCTCTGATTTTAGGCTTACCAGCCTCTGAGTCCCTATTAGAAACCTTTCAAACTGAATGTATTGGGAACTATTGTAAAACATTGTCCCTAGAAATACTCTCGACTTTTCCACATTCAAAATGTAGGAGTAATGTCATGAACAAGATTTAATCATTATGAAAAGAAACATCCGCTCGCTCTCTTTCTCTTAACACTCTGTATGTGTCCTGGTGCTCAAGCAAATGCTCTGTTAGCTCATTAAACTAGTGTCCCCAAATACTAACGAGCTGGAGAGTTTTCCAAGAATTAGGTTGGCAGATAGAAAAAGAGAAAACTCCATGGCAGGGGAAAGGCAGTGGGACCTCTTCTTTTCAGGGATGGAGAGCTGCTAAAAGTCAATGCAGCTGGATTGAACTCCTTAAGGTACCTTCCTCATATCAGCAAAATTAGCATGAACCTATAAGAGCAGCCACATTTTATGTAGTATCTACATTCCATCCTAAAAGCTTCACAGTAGTCCATATTCAACCCTATTATAATACACTGCTGTATATTCAAGCTACTATATAGTAAATATGTAGTAATCCAATTAATACATTTTAAATCACTACCTTGAAAACTGTTTTCTACTCTAACTTCTTAAAATCTAACTTCTCTTTATCATCTTTAATTACCAGTAGGACAACAATTATTCCAATCAAAGTTATATAATCTTACTGTTTCCTTTGGGAAGCAGAAAAAGCCTACATGTTATTACCTAGTATATATATATAAAAAAAATCCATAAACTGAAGCTGTAACATCACTTATCAACTAAAAGCAAGTAACGAAGTTTGTAAACTAAAAAAACCCTCATGAAATGACATTAAAAATAGCTACCTATCTCTAGCAAATTACCATTTTCTTCGAAGAGGCACACCAGCGCATGAGTGTCAAAAAAAAGCTTCCTATTTCCCAATAAAGAAATATTCCCCTTGCTTTGTAAAGATGATGACGCAGAGATGCTTGCATCTGAAAAAAAACCCAAAATGTAAGTTATTTCTAAGGAAGAATATGTAACCAACATGTTTACTTTCCACGAGTCTTTCTACCCCAAATATTTTTAATCTATGACAAAATATTAGTTATTAGAACAGCTTGAAACTGAAAAGATATCCAACTAACCTCTATGAGCAAGATATAGAGAATAGAATACAACGTTAATGCTACACTTCTGAAATGCTCTCCAATATAACATCCTAGCAAAATCCCACCAAGCATCAGGTGGGATGAAAAGCTGTTCCTTTACCATTATCAGTGTAACTGGTGGAAGCTGTGAGCACTTCAAAGATCTTGAGGACTAAACAGACTCTTTCCATTCCTTAATAAAGAAGCCAACGTTCACTGGTTGCCCTTCAGACAAAAAGTAATCACTCGCAATTTGCCTTTACTTTTTGTACAGAAAATATTGTCAACATCGAATGCAAATCTACGACAGTGTAGCTTCCACTTGGACGTTTGCATAGACCAGCTCACAAAGAAAAAAAAAAGCGAAATGGAATACGAGGTGAGCTGTGCGGAGGCAGAACTCTCTGTCCTCAAAGACATCATATTTTAAAACACTTGGATAGAAAATCCGGCTAGCCTTATCTGTCTCAAAGTTCAATAAGGGATAACCAATAAGTCTTTGAGGGAGGAAAAAACAGTCCTAGTAACGACCCCTGCGGTCAGTTCCCAAAGCTGCTGCGGACAGCAGCACCCCCCTCGCAGGCCCCTGTCTCCCCAGGGGGGCGGCGGACCCCGCGCCGCTGCCTTGGCGACTGG